TTTTTGCTGTGTGCATCAGTTTTTGAATACTTTACGCCTATGAGTGTCCTATCAACAAGACTTGATTTTGACATTGAGTGAAAGTTGTTTGTGGCTCTTGTCCGCAATGGTGTGTCTCAGATCAGAGCGTGTGATCAAATTTCTTGTTGCCTATTGAAGACACTAATTGGATCCCAATGAATGCTTTCTAAATGTTGACTGAGTATGAGATGACGCACCTTTGTACCTGTGGGCTTTTTTACAATGTGTCACCGGCGCCAGCTATCTGCCTGAGTCTGATAAACCAACTGAATTTCAGTGTTTCATGAGCTACTCTACAATTTTGCGCAGTTACTACTTGGGAGCCAGATGCCAAGAAATCTCAAATTGGTTATGATGTGTTCACAAACTAACCAACTTTCCAAGTTCAGTAGCTACATCATGAATTAAGATGAACTTCTTTGAAAAATTTGGAAAGTCACTCTTGTCTGTCACTAACTGACCCATGATGAAGGTAACACAGAGATTCACATTGCAACATGAGAAGCCAGCTTCTACCTGTTCATGCTTGAGAATTTTTTATTAAAGCTAACAACCACAGAGAGAAGTATTTATGTACCGATGTAATTCTGAAAGGGTTGCTAAACCAACTCTAGGTTTATCATTGATCTCTTTTAGATTTTAGCTTAATCAGCCTCAAGACTGTCATTGTCACACCACAGGAATTAATTAGTTTGAACCCCGATTGAACCAAACTTTGGTGTCTGGGTTTGAAATTTCCTCGAATCATGAATTTCGTTCACAATTTGTTTTCAATACGTTTGCCAATTTCCCTCGAGCGGTACTCTGCTCTCCCCGTGTATGTACAGCTACATCATACAACAACAACACCTTTCAACAACAGTCACCACAGATTCACCAATGTGCAGAGCATCAAGACTGAGGATGCATGACAAAGGAAAGATGGCTCAATGGTTGGAAAAGGGGGGGTTGTTGTATGTTGTAGCTGTACATACATATGCGGGGTCAACAGAGTACCGCTTGAGGGTAATTGGCAAACCTATGGCAAACGGATTTTAAACGATATTCACGATTCAAGGAAATTTCAAACCCGGACACCAAAATTTGGTTCAATCGGGTTTTGAACTAATTAATTCCTGTGGTGTGAGTTATGAGGTGTAATTGATGTTTTATTACATTTTACATGTTGGTTTAAGTGTACATGTATATGTCATAAGTATGTTGGTACATTTTGTTACATGTTAAATACAGTTTAAGCTCAGTATGTAACATGTAATTAATTTTATACATAATGTTATTAATATTACAAGTTAGTTTTGGGTACATATATGTGTACTCAGGGCTGACAATAGCTTTGTTGACCACCTGTTGCGGGGCTGTGTTGCTCCCAATGGAGTTACAACCACAACACAACAGGGTAAAACTTTACACCCCATCAAGAAAAACTCTGCTCAATGGTCTGATCAGGTGGGTTGTGTGGCTTTGCGGACTTTTTCCTGTTGCTTGGCGTTGCTCAATGTTGCTTGCTCATAATGCACTGGCCCAACTTTGGAGAAGAGTGCTTATAATAGGCACTGATTGTTTAGTTTAGCCATTAGTAATTCAAATTTATCTGTCAGAAAGAGAAAATACCTCAGATCATTAGTCACAAGTCTTAAAACTCACCTTTAAAAAATTTCTCCAAACATTTAGGTTAGTATGAGTAAGGTCTGCATACCTTAGAACTGGGAGAACAGTGCTTATAATAGGCACTGCTTGTTTAGTTACATGGTAGTTGACTGACAAACTAATCTGAAAATATGTTTTCTTAATTTATAAATGAGGAAGAACCAACCGTACCTGCAGATCTGCCAATAGCATTAGCTTCTCCATCTCAATCAATATCTTCTGCCTCAGAAGATGACTTTCATTCTTCCTCAGATTTAAAATCAATTTGCAATTAAACAATTATGAGAAACTTGTTAACCGTACCTACAGATCTGCCAATAGCATTAGCTTCTCCATCTCAATCAATATCTTCTGCCTCAGAAGATGACTTTCATTCTTCCTCAGATTTAAAATCAATTTGCAATTAAACAATTATGAGAAACTTGTTACTAACAATGTCAACATCAGATCCACCTACTGGAACCACCATTGTGACTATCACTACTCTGTCAACTTTTGGTAGTCTAATGATTTCAAATAGTTTCTTTGATGGTCATTACACTGATGATTCTTTGCTCTATAGAGGCAACATGGTCAGTGCTGTAGGCAAAGTGATGGGTTTAACAGCAGGGCCTGTGAGGTGGCACTGGAAGGCATGCAAAGACATTGCAATTTCCAAGGGCAGGGTGCTGACCCTTGGACAATTGGTAGACAGTTGGTAGCACTGGGGTCCGTTGCAGCATACTACATTCAATGAATTGCAAATGGATGGTGTGACAATGGGGTCAGCAGGTATCAATGCAGATGGGTGGAGGGCTAGGGGATCACAATTGTGCAACATGGACAATGGGCCAAAAGTGTTGTGCACAATGTAGAATTCATGGAATACATCATTTCATTCAAATGCAAGGACAGGGTGCAAATGAGGCAGGCACACTAAGGCCCCGTTTGGGAGCGGTGACAAAGTGTAATGTACTGCAAAAGTGTACTGCATTTTTGGCCCCAATAATGCAGTAGAGATGAAAACCCGCACTTGTAGTGTGGTACAGTTATAATCTCTGTTTTTGGTCATAATCGTTTGGCAATTCAACACCACTCGCGCTGATTTTCTCCTGACTGTGGTATGTATGTATGTATACCCACAAAACCTCTGACATCGTTTGTTCTCGATCCACACTCAAACAGACTTAACAATCTTTCATCATTAATTCACTTGCTCGGTCATCGTAACTCATCAAAAGTTGTGAACCTCATCACCAATCAACTGGAACTTTTCTCTCGTCAAGGAATCATCTTGATCATCTTTTTCATATTGTTAGCGAATTTGAAAAGATACATATCCTTTGATATTCATGAGATTGATTGAAGGAGAAACAAGGTTATCAAAGCGAGTGACAGAATTTGAGAAGCGACGAGATTGATTGAGGGAACGGTGGATTGAAGGAAGAAGTGATAAAGGTACAGTGCGATGAGGTCGATTGACAAACTAATATTGAACTCGTGGTTGTCTTCATCTTGAAGTGTGAAGGTGTTGAAGATGGGTTGATAGTGAGTTTTGTAATCGAACGGATGGAAGGAGCCGATGAATTACAAAGGGAAGGGGAAGAGATCAAATTTGACGAAGTCCCCTTTCACCGTGCGGATTTATTTTTCATAAACAGCTTTTTGTCAATTATTGCAATACCACAGTATTGTCAGATTATTGTCTAAATACTGTGGTACAATACTGCAGCAAAATAAGGTACCAAACGTGGTAAGATCATACCACTGTGGTATTGATGCAATTACGAAAATACCGCGGTAAAATAACCGCTCCCAAACGGGGCCTAAGTATGCAATTACAAACTAAGTCAGTGAGTTGATATTGGTGTGCAACAATGTGCGCTATTGCAGTCAAAAACACTGCAGGTGAATTGTTGCGGAGGGAGGCAAGAAGGCAGAGCATATATGCTTCACCAGGAGGGCAGCCAGCCAGGACCCTGAAAAGCTCCCATGTGACCATCCAACAAAATAATCACAAAAAATCAATTGATTGGTCCCTCAAAGTCTGGCTTTTGCAGGCCTTTGATAACAATTTTGTAGGTTAACATCCAACAGTTTTTGCCTTGATTTTGACAGTTTTGATACCTTTCCCGTTGGTAACATGTTGTTTTTCGTGGGTTTACCTCCGTGACATGTCATTTATGATTTGATACAGATTTGATACATATGTTGGTGTTTTTTGTTGGTAAATCTTTTCCTGTTCTTTCCAAGCTTTGCTGATGGATACTTCTTTCGTCGATAAGATAGCCAAACTCTTGACCTCCGCTTGATACTTTTTGTCGAATGGTTCCATAGGGCTTTCCGGGGTCCTAGCCGGCCGCCCCCAACACTCTAGTCCCATTAGGGGCTCTCAAACCTGACCCGGTTTCAAAAAACCCAGTTGACCCAGTTGAGTTTTTGGCTGGGAGCTGTCAATAAATGTCAAATTTATATACAAAGTTACTGCCAAAAAGTCAACTGGGTCAACTGGGTTTTTGAAAACCGGGTCAGGTTTGAGAGCCCCTATTGTGTAAATTTTATGTGTTGTATGCAAATATACTTAAAAGCACTTAGAAAAAACCAGGCCGCCAAAGCCGAAGGCGTCGTAGTAGTACACATCCACAGCCAGATAAAGCCTCTGGTTTGAGATTCGGTCGGACTAGTCCAGAACAGATCACGGAAAATAGAAAACATGACGAGTTGGCAAAATTGTATTCGCGTTGATAGGCCTCGTTAAGCTAATGATAGGCTCCAAAAATCTGAGTAAGGCTCAAGAGAGATTACAGGCGATTACAAAGAGCATTCAAGCTGTCAAGGAGCGCTTTCAAAGAGGATCAAATTAACTTCATCTTCATTATAGACTACTGTGGGAAACCAGTTTACGCCTCAGCTTTTCACGACCGCGAGAAAGGTGAATTTACCCCCAGCCCTCATGGTCTGTTCTCCACTTTTAAAAAGTGCAATTGCTCCTCAGCAAGCCGCTTCGATACACTACCGTTTTGCTTAACTCTAAAGAGTCAAAGAAAGTTGATCAACTTTTGTTGTCTGCTCAGAATTGGATAACTTTATAAAGATTTCGACTCTCATATTCAACCTTTCATGCGGTCATACGCCTGAATCATTGAACAGCAAATCGCTCGGAGTCCTCACCTCTTCATCAACAGCAATTCGGTGCATCAACCCAAAACGCAACTTCAACCAAACTTACAACCCAGCCTCACTCTCAATCAGTTTCTTGTATTCAAATCATCGACCATCTCATCTTCAAAAACTCTCTCACAGCTCAATCAGTTGATCTTAGTTGATCACCTTTATCTGGATCTCACTCTTGGAGGCGTAACAAAATAAATCTTCTGTTCATCTATCTCTTGAGTTCCCTTGACTCACGCTTGTGACCCACTCAGTTTTTTTCAGCTACTGGCTTTTCATTAAATTTGTTTTAATCAAGACTATTTCACAACTACCGTCACCAATCTAAAGTCTTATCTCTGAGATTGTCTCTCTTGACCGTTTCAAGCTATCTTCGCTCATTCACCTCTGACTTTCACACTATTAACTGGTCACATCATTATCGTAAAACTCTCCACTTGAGCTTTATCATTCTCATCATCTCCTTTTTACTCTTACACTCAAGATGCTAAATGTCACTAAAGACGCATGTACGCAATCTTCAACCTTCTTGATTCTCTAACACACTAATCACCCGGGTAGCCTAGTTCTTTAACTTATCCACGCATATATTTCTTTGTTTTCCAGCTGGCTCAATCGTCGCCACTTTACCAGATGGGTCACCTCCAACGATTTACAACCCAGGTGACTTGGCTTGGGTCTTGGCCTCTACCGCCCTCGTCATGATCATGACTCCAGGCCTAGGATTCTTCTACTCTGGTTTACTTCGACGCAAAAACGCACTCTCGATGATCTTCTTATCAATGGCCGTTTATGCTGTTGTTTCATTTCAATGGTTCTTTTGGGGATACTCTTTGGCATTTTCTCCCAATGCGTCGCGCTTCATCGGCACTCTTACCAACTTTGGATTCATGGATGTTGATATGCAACCTTCAATCGGAGGCACAAGTGTTTGTTCATTTCCTTTAGTCTGAATCACATTTCCCATATCGATCTCATGACTAATTACGTACTTTGTGCGGCTTATTCAGGTTCCGAGTTTGGCTTATGCCGTCTTCCAGATGATGTTCGCAACCGTACGCTTATATCTCACTGATTGGCTTACCAAGTATTCACTCATCTTACTCATTCCTGCTCTTGATCGACGCTTCAGATCACTCCAATGATTCTCCTTGGCGCTGTCGCTGAGCGTGGAAGAATTGGACCAGCTCTCGTGTTCACCTTTATCTGGTCGACCTTGGTCTATGATCCGATCGCGTGCTGGACCTGGAACTCTAAAGGCTGGACGTTTATCATGGGCTCTCTTGATTTTGCTGGTGGTGGTCCGGTTCACATGTCTTCCGGTACCGCTGCTTTGGCTTACTCCATATGGCTTGGCAAAAGACGGGGTTATGGCACCGAGAGGTTGGCCTACAAGCCTCATAACGTCACCCACGTCATCCTTGGTACTGCTTTGCTGTGGTTTGGCTGGTCCGTTCTTCAGACATTTAAACATCTCAATTTTGTATCCTCATCAAGTTATATCCTGACATGATTTGACAACCGATTAGGTTCGGCTTCAACGGTGGATCTGCCTTGGCAGCTAACATGAGAGCCTTTCAAGCTGTGATGGTCACCAATACGTCGGCTGCAGTAGGAGGTCTAACGTGGCTGCTTGTTGATTGGTTCCATGAGAGGAAGTGGTGTAAGTCTTCCTTCCTATCGCCCGTATAGTCAACACTGTCTGACACAGAACCTCTTCTTGATTATCGCAACATCTTCACAGCTCCCGTAGGATTCTGTAGTGGTGCTATTGCTGGATTGGTAGGGATCACTCCTGCTTCTGGATTTGTGGGAACGCCTGCAAGTGTAGCCATTGGATTTGTGACAGCAGTCGTATGCAATTATGCGACCCAATTGAAGATTCTTATTGACTGTGATGATACGTTAGGTCGGTTCATTCTCCTTCCATCTTGAGACTCTTGAGCCTCGAAAAGTATCTTGTCAAGCGTGTAGCTGATCAATCGCAACTTTTATCGATTGTAGACATCTTTGCATCTCATGCTGTGGGCGGATTTGTGGGATCAATACTCACTGCTATCTTTGCCGATTCGAGAGTGGCTGCGTTCGATGGGAGTACGGTCATTGCAGGTGGATGGATCAATCATCACTATGTACAATTAGGATACCAACTGGCGAGCTCCTTGGCCATCATGGGCTATACCTTTGCAGTAACCATGATCATTTTGGTTGCCATGGAATTCACACCCGGTATGAGCTTAAGGGCTACCCCTGAGGCTGAAATTGTGGGAATCGATGAACATGAGTTGGGCGAATCGTTGAGTATTCAATCTTTTCATGCATGGACTTCTGGCAGACTTTGAATGTGTTTGCTGATTCAAGTTTTTCTTTAGTGCATATGATTATGCATTTGTGGAACGAGATGTGGAAAACGCGGATTACCGAAGTGAATTGAAAAGTGTATCACAACCTGATATGGAGTTACCAAATACCCGATCACCATCAGTACATCATGGTGGTTTACAGGAACAACATGTGACCATAGATAAATCACCAGAGCGACATTTGCCAATCGATGCGTCTAACTCTTCATCACAATCTAATGAGAAAACCAAGATTAATCAAAATCAAGCTCAGACGAAAGAAGTTGTAGTTTGACACGATTGTTCATACGACGAAGTATTCACCGACAGACATAAAATCTTTCCAAACCTATCATTTGGAAGAATTATCTCACCTTTAACGCAAATGGATATCTCATCAATGTATAATTTGTGATTACGTATCAAGAGGTCATAAATTAGACTACCAATGACATATATGATATTTCAAATCCTAGCTATTATAGTTTTCTCTCGTCTTTTTTTTTCTTTGTGTTTCGGTTCAAGTGTAATTATCAAGAAGGGTAACGTTGTTTTCTATTTAGGTGGATTAGACTGGGTCTAAGATATTGAGAGATGATACATATGCATATATATATACAGTGTCTTTTCCCCTTTTTAATATCTTTTCTGATTTGTATTTGGTTTGAGCATGGTTTTCTAGGATTCGATTATTGATGAAATGCATAATGAAATAATGTAGGCAAGGTATAAATGGAATTGGATTTGAAGTTGTGTTCTTGATGAGGAATGAATTCACCTTTAGCTGGGTTGAATTTGGTTCCGACTTCCAGGATGTAAATGATATATCACCTTTTACAAAAAGTTCTGGACAAAGGAGGTAGAGATTTTTTACGTTTCTTTGGTCAATCCATTGATTATGAAGTTCACTACTATCCAATTCCTTACTTCCTATGAAACTGAAATACGTAGTCAGTGCAATCATTGTTTACTCTGGAGTTTTTACTAAATTTGCTAGCAAGGATGTATATTAATAAATGTCAACTTCAGAGATATATAATTGATGCACAACCATCAAAATCATTTCGGTAGTATCTTTTCAGATCTTTTCTACTTCAAGGCTCTCCATGACTTCCAAAAGGTAGCTAACATTTTTAGGAAATCTATATTCATCAAAGGAAAATGCTGGAGATGCAGGTATTGCTCTTCACCCTTTTGTGGACTGGAAGTGATGTTGTACATATGTAAGGGTATAATTCTCGCGCAGCGGTATTACCTGAAGGCGTCAAGAATCTTTTAAAAGATTCTGTCTGCCAATATGTGCAATGAATTGTTGATAGATTCAAGACAAGATGTTGGTAAATATTTGACGGCTTGGCTTCCCAAATTGTCTGCGCGCCACCGCCGGCCCCGAGCCCGATTCCCAGGGGCCAGGAGCCTGACGGCAGTATCCGACAGTAGAAATTGAAGTTAGGCTGGACCAGCTTGACAACCAATTCAGCAAACTCACCAACATCAACATCGAATTTGTTCACTCAAGAATCAAATCAGACCTTACTCCTCATGTGCTGATGGGTCAAGACGATTACGCAGAAGTAGTCTCGGGAAGCGGTGGACTAAAGTTGAAGGGTATTGGTCTACCACAAAAGAAGTTAGTTGATTCACTTTATATACCATCCTCTATATTTATAAAAAGAAAAGAAAATGCTGATTCAAGATTTAAAACAAACGATGTGAATTAAATTAATAAAAAGAAAAAAGAAAAAATCATCATCATCATCATCGAATAAAGATCGACTTAAATCAGATAATTTAAATCCACCATCTACTTCAACATTAACATCAACTTCTACATCAACATCCACATCAACTTTAAACAATCCAACACTTAATCAATTAGAAAGTTTAGGAAATGTAACAAGAGTTGAAAAAACATTAGCAGAACGTAGATTTGAAGCAGTTCAAAAGAAAAGATTAGCAGAGAAAGCTAAGAAACAAGCTTTAAAGACTCATAAAGATAGAGTAGCTGATTTTAATGAAAGGTTAGAAGCTCAATCTGAACATTTCGATATTCCAAAGGTCAGACATTCTTATCAATCTCATTACATTCATGTTATTCTTTTTTACATTCTTTATTGACTTATGTTTACGCGATTGATTTTCTTACTAAATAGGTCGGACCTGGTTAAGAGTTCACAGAACAACACGAGGTGTTCAACGCTCTTACCGGTTACTTTTCTTTTTTTCACTTCAGTTCTGATACTGGGTTACATTGTATCTTTGGATTCCATCAAAGCAACTCATCTTGTTTACCTTCCCAAGTTCATACCCATTTTCCCGGTTTTATTCACAATTGACATGCCTTTCAATGTGAAATATAGGATGTGCTTTTGAGATGGAGGTACACGCAGGCAGGGCACCATTCTGGCTTCAAAGAAATCAATATGCTGGAACTTCATAAAATCGTGTCTTGATTATTCAATCGTGAATTGAGAATGCGACCATATCAAAGGGGAGTCGTAAATACCTGTCCCTGTTCTGTAAGACCTATTGATTGGGTAGGTAATAGAGCCACTCATGGCCAGATCTGGTCAACTGTTGCCAAAGACACTGCAAAGGAAACATCTAAGATGATTTCGTTGGCTTTGATTATGAAGGTCGCATATACTCAAGTCATGCGCTTTCTTGGTAAGATGCTAGCAAAAATTCAAAAGATATTTAACATCAAAATGGTATGACAGTTAGAAACATAAATTGGTCACGGCACATTGCGATTGAGGCGAGAAGACGAGCAATCTAAAAGGTTCTTGAATTTGAGTAAAATTAAAACTGTCGGACTCTTTCTCTCTTTCTTGAATTTGTATTTTCAGAATTCATTCAAGATTTCTGAGGTTCTGTTTTGGATTGCGTTGCCCTACAGAGTGAGTTACCAGGGAAAAAAATTGAGTTGATGATGAGCTTTCCTATTATCTGACAATAAATCAAACAAGAATGAGAATGACTAACATCTGATGAGTTATAAACCTTCCTCCTTGTATAGACTGTAAACTGAAATTAACCGCATGCTAAACCAGAAAAAAATCAAAAATCAGATTGAATTGTAACTTCAGTATATGATGAAAGACGTCATCATGAACAAATTGACTAATTAGACTAACACAAGCGAATAAAAGATAATTCCTAGGTTGAACTTTCCAAGCAAATCGCATAAAACAAATCGAATAAGCACCAAGAGCTGTAGTCCTGTGAATTGAAACGGGATTTAAATGCCAATACATGATCGATCGAAGTTAAAATCAAATCTAATCTTACATTGAACCACTAATGATTTCTGGATCTTTAGATAAATCCGCAAAGGCGGCAATAGGTAAACCCCAATTTGCTACTGGTCCCCAGCTAAATACAAAACAAGATATCTTTCAATTAGTCAGCTTAATTCTTATCATGATCGAATAGTTTGATCCCGATGATCCTAGTTATATGCTTCATCATTTGGCCACTTTTCAAATGAACCACGTTTCGGTGACAAGGGATAGAAAAATATGTATGTAACGACCTACAAATGAGTACCTAGTGTGGTCATTTTTTTTTCAACAAAGGTTAGATCATGGTTTACAGTTTGATAAGAAGAATAAGATCAATGAAATTTAAACTTACTGAAAAAATATTGACGTCCAGCTGGACTCTTTAACCAATTCACAAAGGCGGCCATTTTTTGTAATCCAAAGTGTGATTGTTCTTTATGTTTTCTTCAATCCAATCGAATTTGTTGGGTATGTCTCCTGAAATCCCGTTGATGATGGCGAGAAGTTGAATATGGGTTGGGTTGGGTATGGGTATTGAGTTGATGGGGTGAGAGGAGGACCCGGACCTGACTCTGCCCGACGATATCTTTGAAGCGGACAGTCCGCGCCCTGTCATACTGAAACCTACAAGCGCGGGTTTTTTGTGTTTTTTGTCACTCATCTGGCAAACTTAACAAAGTCCCTCGCCAAAGGGCCTGAGCCCCAGCGAGGGACTTACCGCATAAACTGGAATCCTGGCGTGAGAAGTGAGCTGTATTTGCTCCAAATTCTCTACATCTGTTTGTTGTTTTTGTCTCTCAATAAACATGTCTTGCAACAAAGAAAGAAGAAAATGGCCAGGGACCATTACATATGTACCAATTGCAACCTCCTTTCTATCTTGCTGGGAAGTTATCTTTTTGAGTAGTTGAAGATCAATTATTTTGACCACTTTCTGAGAAATACAGGCTTTGAGCCGGCTCGCCGCTGCTGAAAAATGAAAACAGACCCATTTTTGATTCCCCAGTAGCCCAAGTTCCAGACCAGATTTGGGGGAGCTTGCAATTGGCTCATATGTAATGAATATTTGCCATCATCCTTTTATTTACCTCCGAGACCTGTTTATTTAGGAACAAATTGAAGAATTCAAAGTAGTGTTTTTTGTGCCAATACAGGCTACTTCTCACGCCAGGATTCCGTTTTATGCGGTAAGTCCCTCGCTGGAGCTTGGGCCTTTGGCGAGGGACTTTGTTAAGTTTGCTCATCTGGGCCACTTGCAAGTCGCACATTCAACATGGTGTCAATTTATTTGCGGGGTTGGTGGTATTGCTGATTTCAGCGTGCATGGGGGAATACCCCAGATGGAATAAATTAACCACCATTGCAAGATCATAGGATGCTTCAAGTAGATCCAATGATCAATAATGCCACAATGTGCTGTATAAAAGGGGTGATTTATCTCAGTAAGGATAGCAATAATTCAAAATAGAGGTGGATTAGTGGACATTGAACTAAAACCTTTCTTCTTAAGTGGGTACCATTCAGAAGCATCCTGAACCTGAGAGCTATAGTGGCTAGTGTCCAAGCCTTTGAAATTTCCATTAACTCAGTCACTTTCTATGCACAGTGTTTTTTGAAATCCAATCACAGGTTTTTTTTGAAAAAAAAAACAAATTTGACCCCGCAGGGTCAAAATGTCATTCCTTGGGGCATCTACCCCGTGTGAAATTTCAAAGGCTTTGCCACTAGCAACTATACATAGATCCACCTCAAGAGCTACTTCATCCGCTTCATTTTTGTGGAAATCTAACCCTTTGTTCATGGTGTTAATTGCTTCAGCAAGGTTGTGAATGTCAATTTTGAGATTGGAGTCATCTGAGTCACTAGATTGATTCTTCTCCGCAATTTGAAGAGCACACAGGTATGACCACCAGTGGGTATGACAAAGGGGAGGGAGACCGGACATCAGGAGTTTCAGATGGGGGGGCAATCTCATGATCCTTGTCAAATATTTCAGGCTGTTAATTAGCAATTGATGTGAGGGAGGGATGTCCATTTCTGTGGTCATGGAGGCCAGGTACCATCACATTTTCAGCTACAAGAGAAGCCTTGTATTGTGCAACAACATCAAGGTGACTCTGTAATTGAGAATGTGGGCCATATGAGCTCATCTGTTGTCTACAGAGCAGGAATTTCCGCTGTGGAGACCAATTCAAAATCTGTGCAAACATCCAAGTGAGTCAGTATCAACACAGTAGAGATACAAGGAACACATCCTAGCAAGCTTGAATTGGTTAGGTGGATGGTTACTTTGCACCATTTTCATAGATGGTCAGATTTCAAGGTGAGACGTAGATGATGGTATAAATTTGGGTCTGTGCGGCTGAATTGGGTCAAATAAGCAAGTGTGAGGAAGGAACTCAAGATGCAAATCTCACAAACAAAAAAAGCATTTGGTGGGAAAGTGGTGGCTTAAGATTACAATTTTTAATGATGATGAATCAAAATGAATGAGCAATAAAGGCACAGGATGTCCAATGTCAAGAGATATATCCAAAGGATACTGGAGGCTCTATTTTGCAATGAGAGGAATATAAGATATCAATACTATAAAAAATGGAGTTGAGAGACAAAGAATGAGGTATCTGATGAGAGATGTGTCCAAAACCTTGTGAAAGGAAATCTGCAATGGTCTGTTGAGAAATCCTTCCTATGACTTCCACAATGTTTGGAATTGAGATTGCCAAAGTTTGTAAGTGGACATGTGGCATGTGGTATATGAATGAAAGCAGAGTCAATTATAGGATTCTCATATATTGTATCATAACTTGTGTCTTGGTTTTCTGTGTTTTCATTGTGCATGGATCAGTATTTGACTGTGATTCTGCTCTGCACTTGAAATCCAACTGGCTTTAATGCAGGCAAGCGGCAACCACAAGGCAGAGTCAAGCCCCAATGCATGCCACATGTGCCCTACATGAAGTGGATGGAGACCAACTGCCCCAGAGTTTGTAGAGGTCTACCGGGGGGCAGGCTGAGGGGACTGTTAGGCCATAACCCAACCTGACTATTGGAAGACAATATTCTGACCCAAATTCCCGCATGGTGCACCAAAACTTTCAAAAAGTGAGTTTCATGGCCAATCCAGGATGTTATTAAATCATGTTCTTGATCTGTACCCCAAAGTCCTCATACCTTTCTCTGCCTGAATACATGCTCCAAGAGGTGACCACTCGACAAACACCTCCACCTCCACAACCCACAGGAGGTCAGAGATTTCCTCATATACCTAGCTCACCGCTCACCATGTCTTTATCCTTGTAGCATGTTGATGTGCACATACAAAGGACTTTTCTTAGACCCTCAAAAGACCCTTCAAAGAGGTTCCACAACAGGCACATCTAACCCTTAGCCCACCCTTATCAACTCAGACCTTTCAGTTGACCCTAGCTGTTGACAAAGAATTCTGCAAAGCCTATAAATACATCATTATTCACTGAGGGTGCTCAACAAGAATCTCAGTCTAAATATGATCAAAAGACTTCAATATTTGTTTCAAAAATATCTGTGTGTGCATGCTGACGCGCTACAAGGACATTGACACAGTGCCTTTCTTCAAAGCTATCAACGGTGCCATCCATCCCAGACGGATCTGATGATGATTTGGCAATACAGATTCTGGTTGAATTACCTCATCGACGTGATCAACCGAAGTTCTTAAATTTGAGTGAAATTAAAATTGTTGAAATCTTCCTGTCTCTTTCTTCAATATCGATCATTAGAATTTATTCAAGATTTTTGAGGTTCTGATATGGATTGCGTTGCCCTATAGAGTAAGTTACCAGAAAAAAGTCGAATTGATGATTAACTTTCCTATGATCTGTCGATAAATTCAACATGGCAAATGAGAATGACCAACATGTAATGACTTATAAACCTTCCTCCTTGTATAGACTGTAAACTCAAATTAACCGCATGCTAAACCAGAAGAATTTCAAAAATCAGAATGAATTGTAACTTCAGTGAATGATAAAGCACGCAATGATGGATAAATTGACTAATTAGACTAACACAAGCAAATAATAGATAATTCCTGGGTTGAACTTTCCAAGCAAATCGCATGAAAGAAATCGAAACAGCACCAAGAGCTGTAGTCCTATGAAATGAAAAGATATTTCAATGTCAATATGTGATCGATTGAAGTTAAAATCATATATCTTACATTGGACCACTGATGATTTCTGGATCTTTGGATAAATCGGCAAAGGCAGCGATAGGTAAACCCCAATTTGCTACTGGTCCCCAGCTAAACACAAAACAAGGTATTTTTTACTAAGTCATCTTATCATCATCCAATAGCTTTATCCCGATTATTCTGGTTATATGCTTGGTCATTTGGCCACGACTCAAATGAACCATGTTTCGGTGACAAGGGAAAATAGATATGTATACAAAGACCTACAAATGAGTACCTATTATCGAAAAAAAGACAAAAAGGTTAGATCATGGTTTAAAGTTTGATAAGAAGAGCAAGATAAATGAAATATGAACTTACTAAAGAAATATTGACGTCCAGCTGGACTTTTCAACCAATTCACAAAGGTGGCCATTTTTGTAATTCAAAGTGTGTTTGTTCTTTATGTTGTATGCAATCAGCTCCAATCCAATCGAATTGGTTTGGTATGTCTCGTGAAATTCTAAATTCTGTCGATGATGGCGAGAAGTTAAATGGATATGGATATGGGTATGGGTATGAGGGGGGGAAACTAATGATTGGGGTAAGATTGAAAACAGACTTTGAAGTTCCAATCATGTCCAACATAGATCCGTTATCTCAACTGGTTTCAAACTTCAAATGTGGTGGTCATGTTCAACATAAAAATCAAGAGCTCGATTAGCGCGCACTCATATATGTTTTCATCAAATAATGAAGCTTGGAATAATAAGGTCTTATCCTGAAGGGTCAATTTTCTACTAAAAATGGTCTTGATTTAAATTGAAAGCTTCAGTGGTCACTCTACAGTCTTTGATAAGAGTGCAGTAAACTCAAATGAAAAATGAAGACATCATAACACACAATATGATCTTCGTAATATTGATCATATTTGATTCTTTGAAAATCAAGCCTAAGAAGGAACCAATGGGAGACAGTTTTATGATTGTCTGTTTATGAAAAGTCCTTCACTTGATTCCACATGGCAGACGATTTGCACCTGTGCCTTGTTTATAAATTATTTTATAGGTCAACCGTGACACCCATTGCAACACAATGACTAAATCATGACATCACAAGATGGTGAAATATTGACTGAAATGTGGGGTTGACACATTTTTTTGAGAATCAATGAGCTTTTGGTGAAGTGGTATGAGCCATGGTCCATCGCGGATTTGCTTATGCGATTTCCTGACATAGGAAATCTTACTAAAAATCAAGCACAGCAAGTAGATATTGTCGTTCGGGTCTAACAAAATCAAACTTTGTAAGAGTGCTGCTTGGAATTGACCAACTCTCACGTGTCGCCAACGTTTTACAGCACATGAGGTGTAGTCTTGAAGGCTTTGTAACGTTCGAGCTGTACGACTTTCGATTCCTGAAGTTTATCAAGTCGATTTCAGCGCACCTCTTCCACCTGATGGTATGCGCGGCAGACTTCTGTCATAGAGTCAAGGTTGGGTTGGAAACCGGATATGGGCGGCGGGCGTCAGAGCATAATGTTCAGCACACCTCCTCCATGGGGTTCAGAGCATCAATCAATTATCTTGCACGAGAGCAGGGGCCGGAGGCGGCCGAGGTTCAGAGGGGTGACTTTGTTCTTGGCTGGACGGTGCCTCCACTGAGTTTTTCCATATCTGGCCAGCTATTCAAATCCAAAGTATTTACCGCATCGAGCTCAGAATGATGGGCAACTCGACAGGCCGGCGGCCGCTCTTGCCATATTCATCGTTCGCGCACCCAGGCATATCTACAGCCGGCATCGTTTCTGGCAAACCTACACATCCAATTGTTGAAGATTTTATGCAACCTCTTCGCCGACTTACTGATGCGACGATGTCTTCCTACACAATGGATGTCAAGATGAGCGTTTTTGGCAAAATGCCTCTAGATGCCGACAAAGCGATAAATGGCAAATTGGGAGAGGTCGCCACATTATTTCTCGTAAACCTCCCTGATTTTTTGTTCTTGCACTTTGCGCTGGACTTTTTGTTTCCTGCTGCTCTATCCTCTCACTTCTTTTGTCTATTGCGGCTCACCTGTGGTGATTTGTGCATTGTCTGCCAACTCCTCATTGACAAATCTGTCATCAAAGACTTCGATTTCACTTGTTTTGTTAATTCTTTGTTGAACTCTCGAAGCTTCTGAGGAAGAACAAAAGCCGACTCTCTCATCCTGAATCAATCGTTGCTCTGCTGGCAGAAGCGTTTACCTCTTTTGTACCTTGAGCTTTCATATTCCTCGTTTGTTCTCCAAAATAATTTCTTTAAAGACACATCCACATAAATTCAAGCCCAATTTCGGGAAAAAGAGCCTCTTATTATTCTTCATCGCTTAGAATTCATCACTTTAATCAGCAAGATGGACTTTGATCCTATTACGGATCTATCATGGTCCACAGATGCACTCAAACAGGCATCTTCCGAATCCTACAGTTCAGTGACTTTCATGGACAATTTGAGCAATGATTTGATGCACGGGAGTACGTTTTCAGACTTTTCAATGCTCGCACGACTGCGTCATTCATTGACTGAATGGGACTGTGTTGCTTTCGCTTTGTTTCAGATTCGCTTGATCATGGCTTCTTTCAAGGCTCAACGTTTTTGGGTCGAACAGATATGCTCGGGGATCACGGGTCAATGTCCAATCCTTTCATGCCGTCGGCACACGATTCCTTATTAACGGAAGACGCGATTTCATCGGGAAGCGATAATTCAGGCTTACAATATTCTGCACCTCAATTGGCGATCGGAGAAGGCGAGTTTGATAAATTCTTGGACGACCCATTTCCAGACATCGATCTCGATCCGCCCTCACCAGGTTTCTCTAGCACCACCGCCTTCATTGACCCCTGGAGGGCTTCTACTCCTACTGCTCAATTGGATCGGCCATTCAAGCTAGTTGGTCGAAACAATATCAGCTTCTCCCCAAAATCATCATCAGACGCTTCTCCCCGAGCTGCGCTCGTTAATCCATTCCTCCAAAACTTTACTTCAACTACTTGTAACCCAGTCGACGTTGCTTCAGTCTCTCCCGCGCATTCCTCTCTGGAAGAGATTGCCACTCCGACCCAACCCAACCCCCTCTTCCAATCCCCAACCAATCCTCGTCGTTTGACAGCATTTCCACCTTCTCCGACTACGCCCACAAAACCCCGAACCTCCAAAGCCAAGTCTCCGCGGACGAAGACAAAGGACGCAAGGTCGCCGGCCCTCAAGAAGCGTAAAAAATCTCGCTCAACAGATGATATTCTTGAAGAACATAGCATTCCATCCTCCAATCAGAACACAAATTCACCGATCAAAGTGACTGGTTCACCGAGCCATATTGGCCGCAATCAAGACTCGTGGGCAAAGCCGGGGTCTATCCAAACAACACAAGAGTCTGGACTCTTTAATTCACGCCAATTTTCCGCTGGTGCGGGAGCTACCTCTTCAATCGACCTTAATTCACTTCTACAATCACCAACAGGATACGATCCGTCCATAAGCCATAGGTCTTCCGACTCTTGCATGCCAGATGTTTCTTCTTCGCTGCGCAATTTCAACTTGTTTCCTCAATTGCCAACTTCGCAGGATATCAATTCTTGGCCTCTCAATTTGGGATTCCAAGAAAACTCGACCCCATATTCAAATCATTTACATGATAATAATATATTCTCTTCTGGGATGACTTCATCCTTCGATACCTCATTAAACATCGACAAACCATCCACGCAGCTACCTGAAGGTCTTCGCCCTTTCTCTTCAGCTTTTGATTCGAATTCCTTCATAAAGAACTTCACAGATCAATCCCTAGCACCCTCTATCCATTCTTCCCTCTTACCTTCTCCTCATATCCAGACCTCCTATAATGAGAAAAAGGCCGACTCACCCTCAGTTTTAATGTCACAATCTCGTTCAGATCCAGAGGTTTATCAGCAAACTTTTGGCAAATCGAACTTTTCACAAGATCGTGCTAGCCTTCCGACGTCCCGGTCGCCCGATTCTCTATTGAGCGGTGTTCTGAATCACTTTGAGCACAGGGTGAATTTTATGGCTAATTTTTCTCTCGCGTCCGGTGGATTTTTCTCTGGTAATCAGACCTCTTTCCAACCAAAACCAATGCCCACAACGGCCGGACCGTCCACTACCATCTCGCGAAGTCCTGTCACACCCTCGAACCCATCTTCAACCCAGAAGAGCACTTCCGAACTGACATTGGCCCGATCACCTTCTCCCTCTAAGCCATCTATTGGTGCAAAGCATACTCCAACCCGACCCAAACCTTTGGAGTCTGTGTTTGTCAATTTCACCCCTAAAGATTCCCAAAAGCTGTTGAGCGGAGTGGCACCGAGCGGAAGTTCTAAACGTAAAAGGTCCTCTCAAGTGCAACCCTCAACACCTTCTAAAAGACGGATCGCCGCCGTTTGAAATATCTTTGACCTAATAATCACTATGTAAGTTGATGATTTTATGATCTTAGACTCATGACATGATCTGATTGTGCTCTTTCTGGTTTGACATAGATCTCTTGTCAATTTCGAGCTCTTGAAAAGCAATTCCCTAGCTACTTTTAATTATATTTCCATCTTTTAGTATACATTTTCACTCACTGATACAATTGTCTATAGGCAAATAATCACTTATCTTCTTGCCAAATCTATTCTTATTGTGTCTTCTTTCATCACTTTCTCTCATTGTTCTTGATTTCTTGTTTCTATCTCTTGGGTTTTGGATATTCGGGTGAAATGAAGTACTTAATCCGTTTCTCAATCTCCAACTGCAGAAGGTGCATGTGGTCCATAATTCTTTTAAACAAATCTCTTGCACTTTTGCTTTGGATTGGTCTCGAAGTGTAAGACCCAAGGTTGAGGAGATCTCAAGATCGGTTCCTCCTCAGAATTCAAATACAAGTTCTGATAAGTATGATTTCAGAATTGTCCGAGGGTGTGCAATCTGCTTCATAAATATTCACGTCCAATAGATTTTCGTGCTTTTTGTTTTATACTTTCCCCCAGTGCTGACTAGTGAAAGTTCATAACAGGTTTAGCCTTTGAACCCTTGAAGTGTTACTCACTATACACTCGATCAGAAATCAAGCAAGACGATGTTTCAGTGCATGTATAAAAGTGAACAAGTAACAGGCAATCTTAACGAAGAAAGGTGTGAACTCTGATAGCATAATACATATCCACAAAATATTTTGAAATCGACCTAAAAGGCCACCTCCCCAGTATCTCCATATATCTCATCCAGTCATTAAGCCTGGGTTGCCCTTCGTTGGCGTACACCCTCAGCTAGTGTTTCCAAAACCTTGATGGTAGTTTCAAAGCTAATGCAAGCATCCGTAATACCTGATAAAACAGACGTAAGCAACCGTATTGGTTGTCCAATGATTGAGCGACATAAAATGGGCTTACTTTGTCCATAGACAAGCCCAGAAGGACCTTCAGCAGGGATATCTTGTCTACCTTCCTTAAGATGACTTTCAATCATCACACCCATGATATTCTGAGCAGTCTTACCGGAAGCAAGCTGAGTTGAAATATCTTCAGCAACAACGACTTGACGTGCAAATTGTTTCTGTGAGTTACCGTGCGAGCAATCGATCATCACTGATGGTCGTAGGCCAGCTTTTGAAAGTTGTGCACTACATGATTCTACATGTTGAGCCGAATAGTTGGGTCCATCGGTTGAGCCTCGAAGAATCACATGACAAGCATCGTTACCGTTTGTGCTAACGATAGCTGATAGACCTTGTTTGGTAACAGAGAGAAAGTGATGACCAGCTGATGCTGCTCGGATAGCATCAATAGCGATCGCGACTCCTCCGTTGGTTCCTAGAAGCACATTGGATTCAGTGACTGATTATGCAATAATGAACTATATCTCTTACTAGATTACTGACCGTTTTTGAATCCAACTGGGGCAGAGATTCCCGAGGCAAGCTCTCGATGAACCTGTGACTCAGTTGTCCTAGCACCAATGGCACCCCAACTGACCAGATCAGCAATATATTGTGGTGAGATAGTATCAAGGAATTCGACAGCTGCAGGTAAACCAAGATCGTTCAAGTCTAATAATAAACCTCGTGCGACTCGAAGACCTTTGTTAATGTTAAAGGTGGTATCCATAAAAGGATCATTGATAAGACCTTTCCATCCAACTGTTGTTCTTGGCTTTTCAAAATAAACTCGCATGATGATGAGTAATTCTTTTTCAAACTTTGGGATTAACTCTTTAAGTTTTTGACCATATTCAATGGCCGCATTAACGTCGTGAATCGAACTACAATGTGATGTGTGGAAGATTTAATTAGGATTTATGATCGGACGAAAAAAATGATCAATAGATTTTGCTAACCAGGGTCCTACGATCACAATCAACCTATCATCACTACCTTTGATAATACTCTCACAGGTTTTACGAGCTTGAAGAATCGTTTGAGCTGCTGTCTCTGACAGAGGCTAAAAATCGATCGAACGCCCAGGTAAACAAATTAGAATGTTGGGTTGAAGGAAAAAATTAACAAATTTAATGAAACGAAACAAAACACATACTAATTCTTCAATGATAATTTGAGGTGGTACTAGTGGACGGATTTCTCGAATTCGATTATCATCAAGCTTTTGAAGTGTGAATCAAGTATATATGCCAAAGCGAAAGAAAAATGTAAAACAAATCATAAAGTGTTTTCGGTTCTGTCAGTTGGATGTTATCATTATCAATTCTATCCATCATATTTCTTTTCCCTACAGTCAAAGACCAGCTTTGAGATCCAAGATTGTAGATGTATTGGAATAATGAATGTTGATGGAATGAAACTTCATCACTAGTACTGTAGAGTAGAACGTACCTCGTTCATGGCTTGAGCTTGAGCTCTTGGTCGTTCAGATGCAGCAGCAGCCTTGATGTCGGCAACGAGCTGTTGAGCTCGGAATGGAGAGACCGGTGGACCGTCTTCTGGCATGAGTAACATTTGAAGTGGTAAAGATGAAGTATCTTATGAGGTTTTTGATTTCTTATTTCAAACGGAGTCGGACGTCTTTTTGTATATCTTTGATCTTGTTGGGTATCTTTATAGTTTGAGAAACGGATGGTGAATTTGAATAGATTGAGATCAGCTACATATGTTGGTGGTGGAAAGAAAAAAAGTTTGGGAAACCAATATAGGGGTTCTCAAAGTAGACCCGGTTTGTAAAAACCCGGTTGACCCAGTTGACTTTTTGGCTGTGATCTGTCAAAAAATGTCAACTCGATACACAAGGTTACTGCCAAAAAGCAACCGGGTCAACTGGGTTTTCTTGAAACCGGGCCAACTTTGAGAACCCCTAATTTGAAAACATTGGATGACTGCGGACTGCGCTCTAGATTGGTGTTGCGCTTTATTTCAACAAATTGGTTGAAGGTCCCACAGTTTTTTTTGCCTTATCTGAACTTTGAAGTCCTTGTGATAAATAAACAAAACAAGTTTAAGACATCTTTCACTCGAGAGGAAGTGGCACGCCATATTAAATGATAAAATCTTGCGAAAAGGAATAAAGTTGTAAGAAAGGAAAGGTATCAATTTTGTTCCAATGCAGGACAAGATACATAGTGTCTGATCATTTCATTGCAACCCACACAATTGTGGAAGAAAGAAAGGTGAATGTTTAGAAAGACAAGCATAGAGGTAGAAAATCCAAACAGTCTCAACCTATCTGTGATGTTTGATGGGCCATGGATGATGGCTTTGAAAATGCTGTTATCTATGTTTCACAAAGATGTTACTGGGATGTCAAGTTCAACGTGAAACTGATCTGGCTATGTCACTAGGCTCTCACATATATTCATAGGTACAAAAAAAATCAAACTGTTCATCATCCTCACGACCCGTCGCACAACAAATTTTCAAAAAAAAGTCAACAGGATAGCAATCCTGTGTTCGGAAACCCCAAAGGACTCTTGGTTCAAACGACACACATAGGCTTTATCGGTCTGTTCTTCCTCATCAAACCAATCATGAATTCAATTTCTATACCAGAAAGATATGGTCATCAAAACTCATAAGATTCAAACATTTTCAATCCTCAGTCAACCCCTCAAAAACAGGATGGAAAATCAAGATAATACACCGATCTCAGAACCACCAAGTTATTTAGTACCATTTGCACGATCAGTTCTTTCAGTTTTATCAATTTGGCCAGCTTTAGAATTATCATTTGAACATTCATCAAGACGATCTGAAAAGGATGAATTAATATCCGAACTAGCAAGTGAACTGGTTGGAGCATTTCTAGATGGTGAACCTACAAAATTACCTTTGAATGAAGAACTTGAAGATTTTTTACTCGCTTGGTGTTTTGGTACATTAGATGTAAGGATAGAAGATGATTCAGAAGTATCGGTGGTTAAGGAACTTCTTGGGGTTTGGAAAGAGTGGGATCAGTGGACTGGAACGGTTCAGGAGGCTTATGAGGCTGAAGGAACTCTTATTTATCGGATTGAAAAACAGGCTGAACGGAAAAGGATTAGTGGAGCTCGCGTTCAAGCTACGGTGGTTGATGAGGGAGCAGTAGAGAGTGGAGAGAGTGATGATGATGATGATGATCAAATGGATGTGGAACCGGCTCAGAATCAACCTGCGCGATCTCGACCCAAGAGCCCGGTGGTAGACGAAGACGGATTCACTTTGGTCACCAAACATTCACACCCGCGTTAAATTTTATCTTCCTTTGCCAAGGAACTATTATCTAATCAGTTATCTCATCTCCTTGAGCTGGGATCGAAAAATGTATCATCGGGTGATATCAGTTTACGGTCTTATATGAATCTTCAAGAAACGGTTTATTAATCCTATTCATCAACCGAAATCAATATACTTTTCAATTCTTTGTCTCATGAATTCTGACCGTTACATGAGTATTTTCGAATCCTTCAATCTAAAAGTTTCTTCAATGATAACTTCCGCAATCAAAAGCTCTACGAAACCAAGATCAATTTTACAATGTACATCAAAAGATGGTTTCTTGACCAATCGCAATTCACGACCACCTACATCTTTCTTTCGTTGGTAAAGTATTCCGGTCAACACTTAAGGGCCGGATAAACTTGAAAGCTGGAGTAAAGATCCTATGACGCATTTGCCGCGAATGTCATGACCTTTTATTAGATTATTATGAATACCAATTGATTGTGAATAAGATATCAAACATGAGAGGTTGTTTTATATGCTCCTAAAAGAGCGCAACATCTTTTGTGTCCATTTGAGAAAACAAAGTTCAAGGAGTGAAGGAGTGACTGTTAGAAGGGAAACATCAATCAAGCTCTTTCAAATACCTACTCCATATAAGCATAACTTGCTCATGGTATTTAAAGAGGAATTCCAGTGTACCTACTATGAGAGTACACTTCTGAATTTTCTGGACACCTTTGGATCAGCAGCGATCACTTTCAGCAGTCACTGGCTAGATCGTCTTATCAGAGTAACTGATACCTAGTTGTAACTTGATGATTGATGAGAAATTGTAGCAATTTGTAGAGTGAGATGAGGATATTTACTATATAAGCTCGGTTGCTATGTCACGTGCCCAAGAAGTGATGCTGATAAGAATATATGTTAAGGTTGAGTGAGTGACTTCTGTAATTTCAACTTTTCAATTTGAGTTTCTCTTTTGACTTTGAAATCCAAACTATATCACTTCACTTTTACTTTCACTTTTACTTTATCAAAAGCTTGGTCATGAGTCAAACTATCATCACTTCAAGACTCAGAGAACCTTATGGTAAGATAAACCCACATCGATTCACAACCAACCAAAACCTCACCAGATAACTAACTCAAACTGATTCTTTTTTGCATCATTAAAGTGGCAGTCACATGTGCTCATTGTAAAGCCACACTCGAATACTTACCACCCCCAAAACCCACATCATACTTAATCCAATGTTCACAATGTTCAAAAACGTTTTCACCACCTGGTTCATCAAATCCTACTTCTACTTCAACTCCTCCTAAACCTAATCCCACTACCAAAAAAAGTGGTAGTAGAAGGATCGGGACAGATGAAAGACCATTGGAAACTGAGTTTTATGATGTACTTGGAATTAGTCCTCAAGCTACTAGTGGGGAAATTAAATCGGCTTATAGAAGACTTGCACTCAAGATGCATCCGGATAAGAACCCTGATGATCCTACGGCTGAAGATAAGTTTAAAACAGTTGAGTGTTGAAAGGATTGAATGAATTTTTCATAAGAAGATCACTTGGTTTTTTCGATTTGGTTTTAAGTTTTGTGTTCTTTTTTTTCTTTTTGGATTGAATTTTTTTTTCTAGTTAGCTAGGGCTTATAATACACTTTCGGATCCTGCTTTGAGGAAAAAGTATAATGAGTTTGGTAAACAACAAGATATTGAAGAAGGATTTGTGGATCCTGAAGCCGTTTTTTCTACGTATGTGAACTTGAACTTTGATGTGTTGAATGAGAATCGAACTGATCAGTTGAAATCTATCACATCGATTCAGGTTGTTTGGTGGTGAAAGGTTTCAAGATATAATTGGTACTATCTCACTTGGACAAGAAATGAAGACAGCCTTACAAAAAGAATCAGAAGAAGAAGAGATTGAAGGAAGTAATGAAACCCAACTAGTATCCAAATCGACTCCATCCGTCTCACCCCCCAAACCGATTTCGAAAAGTACCAAAGCAAACCTTACAGCCGAACAGAAAGCCAAGAAAGCAGAACTAGCTCAAAAAGAATCGGCCGAACGTGCAAGAGTGAGAGAACTGAGAGTCAGCCATCTAGCGGAAGTTTTAACCAAAAAATTATACTTGTATACTGAACAAGCAGATCAAGAAGTAGATGAACAGATCATCAATAGTGTACGGATGATATGGACGATTGAAAAAGAGATGTTAGCAGAAGAAAGTTTCGGACCTGAATTACTACGTACGGTGGGACAAGTGTATGTTGCGAAATCGAAACGATACTTATCAGCCACTACATCAGGAGGATGGGGAGGAGTAGGGTTAGTAGGTGGATGGATCCATAGTGCTAAATCTACAGCACATGTGTTTTCGGAAACTGTAGGAGCTGTTCGAGCTGCTTATGATGTTAAAGCAGTTTTTGATGAGATTGCAAAAGCTGAAGCGGAAGGTGGAACAGGTATGACAGAAGAAAGGAAAAAGGAATTGGAAGAAGAAGCTGCAAGGAAAGGATTGAGAGCTTTGTTTAAAGGTGCAAAGTTGGAAGTCGAAAGTGTTATTAGAGAAGTTTGTGATAGGATACTTGAAGATCCTGGTTTATCACGTGAACAAGCTAGGAAAAGAGCTGTTGCATTAGGTTAGTTGAAGTCTTTTTTCAAACAAACAAGAAAAATCTAAATTGAAATTTAACTTTTTTGTTGGTTCTCTTTTTGTGATTTAGAAATTCTTGGTTCTGTTTATGAAACTGCTCAAAATAAAAATGGTGAAGATCCACTTGGACTTGAAAGTGGTTATGTAAAAGTAGATAAAAAGAAACCTACGAGCACTACAACTACCAGTACACCTAAAGCCTAAATCACACAAAAAAAATCATGTTCTGTTTGATATTATTTGTATTGCTTTGTTTTAATGGTTTTTTTGAATTATACTCTAGAATAGATGTATATTGGAGTTTTTTTTCATCATTGTTTGATTTTTTTTCATTTATTTTGGATTTAATGATTTGTAAGAAAACATTTTTGTTTCTCTTTTATATATGATCAATCATAGCACTAATAGATACTATTGGGTCTGATTGGAAGTAAGGCTTATGTGGTTTTGAGTTGGGTTTGTTATCATTGGAACAAGCATTTTTGCCTACTGCTGCCTTTGAGGTGAAAGTTTGAGAACATCAAGTTCAGGTCACTGCTGTTCACTGCAACCTTGAGCATTTCATTGGAATCACTTCTCTATTTGGTTACTAGCATATTTCCAGGTTGACATCCCTCGATTTGAGCATCCGATCAGCTGATCAAATGTTAATATCGAAATCGAATGACAACTTGAAACCCCGATTTCAAAAAATTAGTTTTCCACAACTTCCTCAACAAAAAGAAGGACAGCCTACAACAAAGACCCACAACAACCACAACAACCACAACCACAAGAACATTCAAAAGTAGTACCATCTCAAATGGCATCATCATCAGATTTAAAATCAACTCATACTACCTTAACAGCTATCGAAAGATATGAATTGATTACTAGAAACTTAGGCGAAGTACTTGGCTCACAAGAATTAATGAAATTATGTGAAGAAGAAGGTAGACTGATTACTTGTTATTGGGGTAAGTTTGATTCATCTTTGATCGGAATTGGTTACAAAAGATTACATATTGATTTGATTCTCGTCTGTCTTAGGTACGGCTACCACCGGTAGACGTGAGTCTGTTTATATTTAAACGAGTTTGATTCTTGGGACTCATGAATCATCATATTATTTGAAATTGAATTGTTGATGAGCAGCTCATATCGGTTATTTTGTACCATTGGCAAAGATTGCGGACTTTTTAAGAGCAGGTGTTCGGGTGAAGATCTTACTAGCGGGTATGTTGAAACCAAGACGATCTGTTACTTTACAGTCTTCCTTATACTTCTTCAGCTTTCGATCACAAGTTAACATATGACCATACTTTTTTTCTCCAGATGTTCACGCATTTCTGGATAACTTGAAAGCTCCACTCGAACTGATCAATCAACGAGTTTCTTACTATTCTTACATTCTTCGAGCGGTGTTTACGTCTATTGGAGTACCGATCGATCGATTAGAGTTTATAACCGGATCATCTTATCAATATTCAACACCATACAACCAAGATTGTTTGAAATTAGCATCATTAGTATCAGAGAGAGATGCGAGAAAAGCAGGAAGTGAAGTGGTCAAAGAATCAGATACACCACCATTATCAGGATTACTTTATCCATTACTACAAGCCTTAGATGAAGAATATTTAAAGGTCGATTTCCAATTTGGAGGTATCGATCAAAGAAAGATCTTTACGTTTGCAGAATTATATTTACCTAAACTTGGGTATTGTAAAAGGATTCATTTGATGAATAAGATGGTACCTGGTTTGACTGGAACTAAAATGTCTTCGTCAGATTCGAAATCGAAAATTGATTTTTTAGATTCACCTGAAGAAGTTAAAAAGAAAATTAAAGATGCGGTTTGTGTACCTGGAGAAATTGATGGCAATGGGATCTTGGCTTTTCTTAATTCGGTACTTTTACCTTTGGCTGATTTGAAACGGAATTCAGATTCGAATGGAAAAAGTCCATTTGCTAGTGAAGATGCACCTATTGATACTTTATTTTCGGTTCAAAGGAAAAGAGAAAAAGATGTATTACATTATTCGAATTATGAACAGATTATTGAAGATTATCAAACTGAAGAACCCGTTGGATCTGGGAATTTTAAATTGTTTCCTTCGGATTTAAAGGTTTCGGTTACCTTTGCAATTCAATTCTTACTGAAAGGAATTAAAGAAATATATGAATCAGATCCAAAGTTTCAAGAATCTAATCGATTGGCTTATCCTGAAGATTTTGTCAATACAGATGGGAATAAGAAAAAGAAGGAAAAGAAATTCGTGCCTAAACCGGATTGGGTGATTGAAAAGGAAAAGGAAAAGGAAAAGGAAAAGAAAGAAAATCAAATCAGTTTGAAATCTGTAAAAGATGGTTTAGATCAACTCAAGGAATCTGCTTAACTATAAACTTTATATCATGGTTTTTTCTTTTTCTTCTCATTATCTTGATCTTTTTCTTTGTGTCTTGTTTGAATCTTGTTACTTCATATTTTTTTCTCGCTGGATGTTTTTTTTCTTTACAAAAGTAAGATATCAGTAAGTATAAGTAACTTGTATAGATTGAAGGTGCCTTTCATCACTAATTCTTTAGTTCTCGGTATCTAAATTGAACTCTTCTGTCTTTTGACATTTTCAGTGACATCAAAGATTTGGATGACACTTTGACTATCCGACCATCTCTTATTTGTAAGATGATTATTATCGTTGGTCAGATGAGCTTTTTGTTAGAAATCATCTTTCATGATCTCGAGTACATCTCTTCTCACTCTTTTTACTTGGATGATTCAATTTCTTATTCAATCTAGTTGGTTTTGTTTTAACTTGGTGCTTGTATAATTGGATTGATAGACTTATCAAGAAGACAATATTAACATAAAAACAAAGATTGAATTGTGATCTAGAATTATACTGGTACAAAGTTTGAACATGAATGAGACCTGAATTGAAACATAGCATAGTATATAGAGTGAAACCAGTTCTAACTCATACAAATTCATGACACCATCATGGTATAAGCACACCAAAGATGTCAAAAAAAGAGAAAAAGAAAAGATGTATACAAAGGAAGAATGATGAAAAATTTAATGATGAGAAGCTAAATCAGCAAGTAAAAGTAATAATGAATCAATTAATTGATCTTCTTTAGATTTATGATGAAGTGAATTTGATGAATTTGATGAATTTCTTAAACGATAAAGCCAGCTATCTGGATGAAGTTCATTTGAATTGATTGGAGTCTTGCCAATTGGGTTTGGTTTAACTTTAAGTGATTGATTAGGTTTGTAGATATTTGATGGGTTTGGGGCTGCTTGGGATTCGGATTCGGAAGAAGGATTGGTTTGGGTTTGGTGGGTTTCGTAAGTTGTGATAGAACTTGAAGTTGAAACTGAAGAGAAACTTGGATTTGAACCTGAACTTGAAGAGGAAGAAGAGGAGGAAGATGATGTTGAGGAGGATAAATGTGTTGAAGTTATTGGTCGAGTTTGTGACCAGATCGAAGGAGAAGTATGGAAAGTGAAACGAAGTGAGTTAAGCTTGGGTTCCATCTTAACTTCTTCATACTACAATCAAATTTTAAGAAAAGTAAAGGTTTGAATGGTTAGTTTGGTTTTAAGATAAAAGGAAATGGATACGGAACTTACATAAAAGAAATCATCTGAATAAAAGTCTGGATAGTCATCTTGGTTTAAAGTCTGATCAGTTTGACTTGAGTGTGTCATTTTGTTTTGCTTAGGTGGAATTCTTTAAAGCCTTTGAAGTTGAAGTGGTATTCGTAAAATTAATTGTTGAGGAATTATTTTATAATATGAGTGGATTGATTTATAATAATTTAGGATGATGATCAGATGAATTTGTTAGACACGGTCAGAGGAATATTGAACTTTATATGGTCTTGCTAAGAAGTTTTTGAGAAAGATCCAACTCGAAGCATGGTTAAGATCCCCTTTGTTTCTTGTAATGACAAGGGAGATCACAAACATTGTTCCACTGAGTTTACCACCAGATTGGTGGAATTGAACTAAGCTCATGGTAAACTTCTTGAGCTATCACTCATTGTCATTGAAATTTACCGCATGAAGGTCACTGAGGTAGCAAACTTGATGAGACTGAGGCTAAGGAAATGTAAATGAGGTTACGAGACGGATGAGTACTACTTATTACTCAGGCCATCAAGAGCCATCAATGAATGTCTCCAAGTTGAGCTTCAAGATTGTGAGATTTACTTTGGTCAAAGAGATCAAAGGCAGTTCACTCGGACTCTTACCTTTGTAACTTTGCCTCCTCAAGGCTTGGGTGTCTTTCTGGCATCCCAAACTTATGGCAAAGAGAAAGGATAAGGGGCAGAAATTGATTGTACTACTGGCGTACTCTCAATTATAAAAGGACTTTGTACATATAGCGAGGGATAACGCCTTCACTGCTTCTTTGCGTTCGCTCATGAAATATACGTGTATCCAGCAGTAGTGAGGATGTGGATGCCCCTCTCGACCTCAGAAGACCTTTGATTGAGCTTATTTCAAACAGCTTGACCAAATCCACCCCGCGAACTCGGGCAATTTGGCGTCAAATCCGTGTGGTGCAAGACCCGGTTTTGTTTTCAAGCGAGTCTTGTTTCTCTGCTGAATTGGACAATCCAGAGAACACACAAATTGTAAGGACACTTTGTGACCCAAAAAACGTAGTCGATCGTTTTTAAATCGGGTGTAGCTTAGGCTATCCCAAGTACTCTAGGCGCTATTCCTGATGATTCCCTCGGGGTCAGGTAGTATACCCAACAGACTGTACTGCGCCGGTACAATAGGTCTCCTTTGAATGATAGATTAGGGGGTTTTAATTTGTGAGCTCTTGATCTCCTTGTTATTTTCGGAAACTCCTGGACCCTCACCCACAAGATTTCCGGAGGCAGCCTTGACGAGGACGACTGAGCCAGATACGATGCTTCAAGAACGCGCCAATGAAAGATGTCCTGAAGGCACCGCCTAGATCTTGAACCTGCGTGAAGCACCAGGAGTCACGATCGTGCGGAGAGCGTTCAAGCGTCGACGAGTGTAGAAGATGCTTGGTTTCTGTCCATTGCTACGGCGGGACCTCATACAAATGAACAGCATTCAGGTTTCTGTGGTATGTCTCATGATGATGTGAAAAATCGCACATTGACTTTGCCAGACTTCGTGCTTCAATCACTCAATTCAAACAACACTCGATAATCAAAGCAGGCCGACCTATCGTGGATTCCCACTTGACCCGACTGCCCACCTCCTTGATCGATATATTTGACGAACAAAGTCATCCTCTCATCCTACTCATTCTCTGTCAAAAGCTCGGACAAACTTTCGCCGATGTCTCTACCTACAGAGCTTCTCAATGGCCCCTGTTACAATTGGCGGCGCATTGCAGGAACAGTGTGTCTTGTCTCAATCGGGGCGATTGGGATTATTACTTTGCCATACATCTTGGCTAGGTAAATTGAGGGGTTCTGTTTTAGAGAGATATTAATAAGATTCATCGCTGATGAAGAAATCGACCTGATCTACAGACCGTCATCTCACAAGCCAGCTGAGTCAAGATTCTCATCCCTAGTGGTCTTCGGCGAGTCATACTCGGGTGATTATCTTATGACTTCAAATTGATATATCACATATTAATTTCTCTTTTCGAATGTGGCACCGACGCGTCAAGATAACGGTCACAATCCCTCAGACCCTCTTAAAAGTCAGTATCGACATGCCTATGACTTGAAAGCGACAAGTCTCTTTTTGAATAACTAACGATGGGTACGCGCACATGTGTCAAAATCAGATCCACTCTATTCGGGACTTGGAAATGCCTCCACCGGTATCCTATGGCCAAATCTTCTCAAGAAGAAATTGTCTAATGAAACCGAGGTTCAACTATACGACTATGCGTAGTGAGTCGAGCCACCCAATCACGACTTGAAGTCTACCTAAATCTCGCGACTCATACTCTTGATGAACCTGGCTTTGAACATCGCCAGCAACGGTGCACACGCAAACGGGAAACTTACGAATTTTGGGCAGCGTATCCCCGATACTCGCACACAGATGAAGAACTACATCTCAGATCTACAATCTGGCAAAGTTGACCATAAGAGTCAGGAAGCTCTCCACGTGTTATGGATCGGTATCAACCCGCTGGATGCGATCTGGATCGATGCTTGTAGCCCAGATCGTAATAACGGGACAGGTGCTCAATATCCTAGTGATCCACCCTTTTTGATAGCTACTGAAAGGATACAGAGACAGGTGGAAGAAGTGCACTATCAAATTGTACAACTTCGTAATGATACCCTTACAGACAAGTTTGGTTCATCTCATGGATCCAAAGTTCTCTTTGACATCTGATATCAATGCTGACTTATCTTGTCACTGATTTTGTCATTCGCTCAATTCGGAACCACAGGTTTCCTTCTAGCTTTTTGATCGTCACCGTACCCAACATCTCCATTGCTCCATTACAGCGCGAGCTCGCGCAGGGTTGGGGAAAAGGAGATACGGAGAAAGAAACCAATGTTTTAGCATTGCTAAGACTACTCATCGAACAATACAACAATGTGGGCGTAACTCCACTTCACAAAAAATTGATGACTTCCTGATTCATTGAGAACTGCTCATTTGCTTCAGGGTCTTATCTCTATATTCTCACAAATTCGAACCACTCATGATGTAACCAGTCGATTTGTGAAGGTATATGATGTATCAAAAATTTGGAATTCTGTAATTCAAAATCCTCAAATGGTATTTGCATTTTTCTTCTTGACACAGGATCACCTATCATAGAATCATATATCCGAAGATCTAAATCAAATCTGGTAAAATTTCATTCGTAGCATGGGATTGAAAATATATCTGGTAGATGTTACGATAATAACACTCCATGCGCGGATATTGACAAATATTTCTTCTGGGTAAATTTGGTTTTCGCACTTTTTCACCAAAAAGAACTAAACTTATACTCTGTTTTATCTCTGGTTCATTTGGGCGATTGAGGATTACCTTCATCCAACACCAATAGTTGAAAAAATCCTGGCTCAAGACATGTATGAATTCATTACAAACCCATACTACCAATATTATGCCGAGCGTCGAGGGTCAATGATTGATCTGCCTCTAAGATCTAATATCTCAAATCAAATCATAATCGATTGACCTGGACTTTCTTGTTAGAGCTTTTCTTGATCAGGATATTTTTATATTGACGTTGAAAATGTTTGTAGATAATCAAAAAGCCTTTTATAAGCTTATTTGAATGTGTATCATTAAAAATTTGCAGGATCAAATAGATTTCTTTATGTCTTTTACCTTGTATGTACAGCATCCTTTGTGTATGATTTAGTTTTTTTTTGAATGTCTGGGTATTGAAATAATTGGAGGAGAATATAGATGTCTGCACAAAGCATTGGTCTGGAAGCTAGCAGAAGGTGGTAACATCTTAGGATTATCACAAGTGAAGATACATTTCCAAAAATTCCATGAAGATAACATTATGTATCTAAACGGCACAGTCAAGTGACCCCTGGACCTGGAGTTTATGCTTTTGTGAGAATTTGCAGAAAGCCTTACCACCTTTGCCACTCCGCAGACACTGCAATTCAAAGCTCACCGCGAGTTTTTCTAGCATCACAACATCATTGCAAGCAGAAAATATGATATAATGTACTATAATGTACTAGTCCATGTTACAAACCAATCATGATGCTGTCTCGCCATGATAAGCCTCTGGATAACAAGTGATTCAGATTCCACCTTCACTATGTTTTTGCAATCCCTCATAAATGTATGTATATAGCCTACAATTGCAAGTATGGACACCTATCTTGATCTCAGGAGACCTTAGTTAAGCTGATGTATACTTGAGGAAAAGGATGATTGCTCTGTGAGATAATCTGACCAAGGATACTGCACACTGAAATTTATGTTCCTCATGTTGCATTGTACTATAGCCTATAAGAAATCATGATCCCCCACTCCAAAATTGAAAACAACTGTCCTATCCTTGACTTTGTGTGATCATTATCAACATCACTTATCAAAACTTTATATTGGGTCTGGAGAGTGGTTGGTTATAATATTTATGTAGCCAGTACAAGGAGATTGGCAGGCAATACCATGCAAAGAATATCAGTCTAAGGTTGTTGTATTATCAAAATCATCTCCATGATATACCAGAAATTGATTGACACATTTATACAAACACCTGCAAAATTTCATTCTGATTTTGATAGTTTGTTTTATTTTGATCCAAATTCAAAAGGAAAGAAGACCTCTCCAAACCTCAACAAATAGAGAAACTTGCAGATACCCTTTGTTGAATGACATAATGAGCTCACATATCAGTTTACTCCTTCTTCTCCTCAAGTCTGACTTTGAAGGTGCAATAATGTATATAAGATCTCAGTTCAATTTGATCAATTAGAATTTGATTTTCTGCTTTTCAAGATTTTGATCAAAAGATACCGCAGATTACTTAAGAAGATGCAATCTTCAACCCTTCTTGGTTTTACCACAAAAATATCTGCAATCACAGCATGAAATACCAAAATGTGATTGAAATTGCAGAGATATGAATAAACTACAGAGGGGAAAGTATGATTTAAATGTTAGGCAATGAGCTGATGAGATAAAATAGTATGTTGCAAAAGGTTATTGATACACCTGAGAGAACTGCTTCCCTATAAATTGTATGATGAGTATCAACAGTCACTGCCATGCATGCTCTGGGTGTATGACAGACAGTACCCAAAAGCACAACAGTACTATGATTTCCAGGATACGGTGTGGTGATCAATTTAAGGGATCAATCAAAAAAATTATATTTAGTAGTTTACCAGTTTATTAGAAAGATTTAGCAGGACAGGAAATTCAAAATGGAGGTTTTTGGATCAATTGAAGCTCTTATGGGCTTATGTGTTGGTCATTGGGTTAAAATTACATCATTTTATTTCACATTACTCATTAAGATCATTATAGTTCATTCACAAACTCATTACAAAAAGAAAGAAAGAAAAAACATAAGAAAAATTTGAAAATATAGGTATATAGGTTGGAAAATGGTTTTTAGGGTAGTAAAACTAAAGTTATGGGTATTATGAGGTTAGAATATGAAAGAACAAAATTATATTACCCTGTGACAATTTTAATCTTGAAGGTTGATAAGAAGAAACAGAAGTTATTAGGGAAAAGGTACTTTTTTGAAGTTGGTAAACAAGAGGTACACGTGTAATTTGGTTATGTAACAGTGGTATTAGTAATGAATAAGGTTGCCAAGAGGATTTTCCGGGATTTTTTAGGTCATGGGAAATGATGTCACATTACATGAGCATGAAAAAGAGAGTAGCAGCTGTGAAAAGTGAAGAAAATGGGTGAATTTTGTCAAAAATGTAGGTTTTTGGCTCATTACATATGTCAAATGACGTCAGATTAGGCTGGTAAATAACTCATTCAACGCAGAAGAGTGGATTGCATAATGTACAAACTTTAAATCAACACGTAGCAGAGCGTGTATGTAAAAATTTATAAGGCAAATAAAGAATCTGGTGTGAATCTCGAATTACAGTCACAAGTCAACATGTAATGCTAAAAACCTTAACTTCACAACTCAATATCTTACTCATCACTCATCAGAAATAGGTCATATGGGTGTCATAAATGATCAGTAACACGAGGGCTACAAGATGCACTTTAGTAATCAAAATTTGGTTTTCAGCTAGTTTACAAGGAAAAAAATCACCTGTATTCATCATAAGAAGTGCTGTACATCATATTATTGTGTCATTGATCACTTTTAGCTGTGAAAATTACATCATTTATTAGTAACAAAATCATTACATTGTGTCATCATAGGGTTTTTTTGGGATTTCTGGGTGGATTTGATTGGTTTTGAGGTTGTTGACCATTGTAAAAGTTGGAGTACATTGTTATATATACTTTGAGATGATTCTGGGATTGCTGTTCCCCTTTTTTCCTTATCATTTACGCAGTTATTATTTTGTTTATCATTATAAACTTATTTTAATAGTACCTGGTCACTTAAATACGCCCTTTATTATAGCTATAAAGAGAAATTTACGCCAGTTTTATAGTTGAAAACACTTATTGGGAATAATATCACAAAGATATTGCTTATGTTCTTCAGTTATCATTTGGGAATAACACTATAGCAGTGTTGATAGTAATAAAAACTGTGCTTTGAAGTTAAAAATATGTGTGAAGATATATTTCTCTGGTGCCTTATCTGTACTCAATACAACAGTGTCTTTTCCTGATTGTTTTGTTTTAGAAGAGCAGTCTCAGACAACTTCTACTAGTCATTTCATTAGTAGATTATCCTCTTCCAGCTCTGTTTAACCCTTGTTGGGTTATAAGTTCTACAACGGCAGGGACATCCTGCAGGGATGTACCAAGTAAAATGCATCTCTGGTATGTGGATACATTTTCCATTGACACAGACACATCACATTAGGTCTTACAATAAAATGTGAATAAAATTGCCCCCTTTTCTTCCTCACATATTTAAAGTAAGAATTTACAACAATTGCACTACAAAAATCAAAATATGTGAGACACTCATAGATATTCCCAAGTTAAGAGTGGAGCAACCTGGAATGCATATATCAAAGCAGGTAGGGGTGTTGATGAATTCTGCTCCTGTGACTAAATCCTCATGTAGCTGGCTTATGAAGTTTGTAATGTCCAAGCCCATCCCACAGACTGGGTGATCCAGGAGATTTGGCAATAAGCAAGCACTGTAGAAGTGTGCTCAAATCTGAGCCTCTCCATCTTTGTTATGCTAACCCACTACCCCAGGGAGGCAAAGCCAGGCTGGGAGCAGAGAGACCGGGATTCAAGCTTGATTGTTCAGCTGGTGGCTTGGGAATTACAGATTTCTGGTTCTGCATGACACAGAAATCATTCTGACTGTGCCTAAGAATTAAGCAACTGTAACTGCATCAGTATACCAAGCCTGTCCATTTAAGTTGTGTTTCCCCCAAACCAATCTGAGTCTTCCAGCACCTCAACACATGGAAAGCACAGTCTACATCCTGTTCTGATTCCTGCAGGTTTCAGAATTTGAAATTATCATACCAATCAAGGTTTTGCAAGTGCAAGTTCAACATGATGGAGGTAGACACCACATGTCAGGGCAAGTAGTTCATGGGGTGGCCTATTAGCTGAATTGTGTGATATGATAGCTGAGTTCCATTGACATGCAAGGCAGAATGAAGAAAGATGAATTCTCTTTCAGCTTCATTGCAGCCTAAACCAAGTTATGGTCCTCAGGTTGGAATTGTGTATTTGTCAAGATAAAATCAAAAGGGTTGACCAAGCATTGTGCCACAGTTGCAGCACACCATTTTGGTACAGATATTGCACACAACAAAGAAAATTATTGCAGCTCTGTTTTTTCATTTCATTTTGGCCAAACACAAAAACACCCCTTTGTTATGATTAGTAATAAATCACTGACCTGTTTGTGTTGATTTGTGTTGATTGTTGATGTTGCTCTGCTATGTTTGCTGCTGTGTTGCCCTGATTCCGTTGTGTGTGCTGATCTACACTGTGCGTTCTTCTGACAAATATGTATGATGTCACTGGATATGTTTCTCTTATAAAACTCTGAAGTCCTTACTTAAAAACCTCAATAAAAAACTACTCAACTCTTTCTATTGTTTTCTCTTTTATCGTTTTCTTCTGATTGTTAAGAAAGTTGTCACATCCTTGTTCCGTTCTAAACACTCAATACTACACGACAAACATTCAACTATAAAGCTGAATCTAAATTGAAATCAAGCACTTATTGAAAGGAAAGGAGGTATATAGCTTTGGTTCTATTTTTCATGTCTGGTTTCTTCTTTATCTAATCTTAAATTGATTCACTTTAAAATGTAGACTTTTGCTTTTGATTACATTGTTCAATTTAAAATTTGTGTTACAAAGTTGAATCTCATAAGTGTAGTTATTGTTAAAGGTACTACAATTTCTCTCTTATCTATTTCTCTTACCAAAATGTTTGTTATGTTTTACTCACAAAAATGTTATTGTTAAAGAAATTAAAATATAAGTTTTATCCTAAAGAAAGAGAGATCCTACCTGTTCATTACACCCTTGCGGTGCTTATATAATTGCACAAGCAATACAACACAATGCATGCAACAGGTATTGAAACCACAGTACAATAAAAATATGTACTGTTTATTGTGGTTTGTCACAGTTGAATGTTGGTTCCATGACAGCAGGTATTGCCTGATTTTTCACATAGAGAGACTGGACTTCAAGCAAAACAAAAGCATTTGAATGGTAAAGCTGATGAACCAATCTTTGCTGACTGTGTGTTTGATCTTCCAACTTGTAAGAAATGCATATGAGCACATGGCAGTAGCACAGGGGATGTCCTATTAGCTTAACTTTGTGATTCACGTAATGTGATACAGAGCTGAGTCCCACCCATGCAGGAGGCACTATGCAAGAAATACAATTGTGTTCTAACTTCATTGTGCCACAGCCTCAGCACAGCACAGCACAGCACAACAGCATCACATCACATCTGTAAAAGCATACTGCTGCGTGTTTTTTGCTTTGCTGCATCCCGGCCAAAGACACTAAGAAGTTGCTTTCATGACTGTGCAAGCAATACAACAAGATTCATACAAAGGGTATACCCACATTGACAATACAACCAAAAATGTGCACCATTGGTTGCATTGCGGCAGGTTGTACTGATTTGTCACATTGAGGGACTGCAATTCAAGCAAAGCAAGAGATTGGTGCATCTGATCGACATTGCTGACTTTGTATGGGATCCAAAGGGCAGTTCAAGTTAAACAAAAATGTTTTAAAATTATAAGTCTTTTGGCCTCCATCCGCTGTAATATTTGACAATTCCAACTTTTGTTTGGACATACATGTGCTCCTCAGGTAGGGCTTTCTCAGAGTTTTTCAAAATTTCAACAATTGTAAGCAGCATCTTGCTGTAGGCACAGTTGTGTTTTAGTGCTTCTTCAAACTTGAACTGCCCTACGGTTTAAATAATGCATGTGTGCATCTGGCACGGGGTGTCATAAGTAACAAGTCCAGACTATGCCACATCCCAAGCTATGTGGTGGTTTGGCGCCAAAGACCTAGTTTCAGATACCTCGGCTTAGGCTGTTCTGCTCACAATCATTGTTGACACCTCCAAGATCAGTTAGCGATACCCCCAAATGGTGGAGTATCTGGCCCAGCCTGGTCTCCTCAGGGGTTCTTCAATTTCCTAGGTTTTGATCTCTTCGAAGACCCCTGGGCCCTCACTTACTAGATTTCCAAATACTTGACGGGACATTGGGCTAGATACGACGTTCAAGAATATCATAGAAACAGCCTCTAAGCGTCCTGAAAGCACCGTCCGAATGGAATCTGAAAGAGGGGTCCCGAATTGATCGTGCATCAAGCGTGACAAGAAGAAAATCCTTGGTATTTTTCAATCGCTACGGCGGGAGCTCGCTATGTACATAAACATAATTTATGGGTCCATGTGCCATGTCTCATGATGATGTAGAGAATCGCACGCTGTGGCTATAATGGAACTGCCAGATATCTCGGTGCATTCACTCAATTCAATCAAAGCCGAATTGAATATTTAAAGCAGGCCGACCTAGGCCGACCTGTTGTGAATTCACACCTGAACCCGACCGACATCATCCATCGATATATCTGACAATCCAAAGACATATACATATTGATTCTGCATCACAATCTCGGACGGGCTTTTCATTGATGTCTTTACCTCCAGAGCTTCACAATGGCCGCCTTTACAATCGGCGGCCCATTGTACGAGCGTTGATTTTGGTCGCTGTTGGGACGACTGTGATTTATAGTTTTTGTTGCATCTTGACTAGGTAAATTCATTCTTTCTCTTTTGCACAACGATCATTGAGCTTTATCGTGAACTTTAAACAAACAACTGACGAAGATTTCGACATATTCACAGACCGTTATCCTCCAAACAGGTTCACTCTAGATTCTCATCCCTAGTGGTGTTCGGCGATTCATACTCGGGTAATCATTCTTATCTTTCTTATCACATCAAATTGCTCAATTGAATATTAATTGATCTTTTCGAATGTGGCACCGACGTCCCAAGACAACGGCCACAATGCCTCAGACCCTTTTAGAAGTCAGTACCGTCATTTCCATGAATCAAAAGCGTCGAGTCTCTTTCCGAAAATCTAACGATGGATGCGCGCAACGTGGATTCAAATCAGATCCAATCTATGCGGGACTCGGCAATGCTTCCACCGGTATCCTATGGCCGAATCTTCTCAGGAAGAAATTGTCTGCTGACACTGAGGTCCAACTGTACGACTATGCATAGTGAGTTAATCCACGCAATTACGATTCGAAAGCCACCTTGCCAAATTCGCAAATCTCGCAACTCATGCTCTTGATGAATCTGGCTTTGAATATCGCCAGTAATGGTGCACATGCAAACGAGAAACTTACGGATCTTGGGCAGCATATCCCTGATACTCGCACGCAAAAGAGCTATTATATTTCGGATCTAGCATCTGGCAAAGTTAGCCATAAGGGTCAAGAAGTCCTCTACGTGTTATGGGTAGGCATCAACCCACTGGACGCGATTTGGATTGATGCGTGCGACCCTGATCGTAATAACGGCACAGGTGCCCAGTACCCCAGCGATCCACCCTTTTTAAACGCTACTACAAGGGTACAGAGACAGATAGAGGAAGTATATTATCAAATTGCCGATCTTCGTAATGCTACCGCTGCGAACGAGTTGAGTTTATCTCTTGGATCGTGAAATCAAAACTGGCCATTTCATTTCAACGCATAACATTATACCGACTCGGTTTTATTCGCCTTTCTAACATTTGCTTAATTCGGGACAACAGCATTCTCTCTAGCTTTCTGATTGTCGGCGTACCCAACATTACCATCGCACCACTACAGCGCGGCTTTGCACGAGATTGGGCAAAATGCGATACGAAGAAGGGGGAGAATGTTTTGAAATTGCTAGGACTCCTCATTGAACAATACAACAGCGTCAGCCCAGCTTTTCATCAGATCCCCTGAATTGCTAATCTCTTAACAAACTGCTCATGTTATTCAGGGTCTTATTTCAAAATTTTCACAAATTCAAAGTAACAATGATGCAATCGGTGGATTTATGAAAGTATATGATGTGTCAAAAATTTGGAATTCAGTAATCCAAAGTCCTCAAAAGGTATCTGCTTTATCTTTCTTAACCCAATATTAAATCTAATGTTGGAGGTCTGATCAAACCCTCGTACTGTCCCATTTGTAGTACGGGATTGAAAATGTCTCTGATGTGTGTTACAATAATAACACTCCATGCTCGGATATTGACAAATATTTCTTCTGGGTAAACTTGACTTTACACTTTGTCAAAAACAAATAAACTGACACTCTTCACGATTGTTGGTAAACTTTTCTGGTTTAGGACTACCTTCATCCAACTCCAACAGTTGAAAAAATCATTGCTCAAGATATGTTCGAATTCATCGAAAACCAACCCTCCCAAAATCATGATGAACATTACATCATCATGTCTGATCAACTGCTCAAATCTGCTACTACTAACCAGATCATCTTAACTTGAGGCTGACTTGTTTTGTTGGTCCTACCCTTCATAAGGATATTTTTTGAACTTTGTAAAAGTCGACAAGCATCGAAGAATCACTTTATAGACCTCTGTGCACGTGTATGTGTATTATAAGAAAATCTCAGGATCAAAGGAATCTCTTCTTGTCTTTCACCTTGTATATACTGCATCATTTGTGTATATTTCCTTTCACTGTCTGGGTGATCAAATCTGTGAATCAGAAGATGAATGGTTGATTATTAAACTTGTGCAAGCCAAGTCGCCTGGAAGCTAGCAGGTGCTAGTAATAGGCTGGTGACTGATGAATATGAAAGGGAGAATTGTATCTTCAAACAAAGAATGCAGAGCAGTGGTCGTCTGATTAAATATTAGAGGTCACATGTAATAAATTGCTAGATATGTATAACCTTTCCCTGCGTTTGAATTGCAAAGAACAGTCCAACACATCTGTTGATTTCAATGTTTACCTTCATCTTTTGACGATTGGCCCGCAGTTTAGTGTTTCGAATATGATTGTAGATAATGGGACCAGATCAGACTTCGAATCGGATCTGGATGGGATCGATCTTGAATCAATACTTTCACTGCTCTCAGGACCCTGGAAGGTCCCCACAGATGGGCTAAACAACATTTTTTTGTTTTCAATCCAACTGAGTTTGTATCTGCTACCACCTATCTACATACCACCACCAATGAGTCTGTTTTACCCACTTTTACCTCTAGCGTAACCCAGGCCTCACCAACCGCGCGCCTCCGTCGGAGCTCTCTGGGCTCCGGAGGGCACCTGCGGTATTCTTGGACCAAATGAAATGATATTGAAATTTATTGACCTCACTCCTCAGCAGATTCCACGTGATGACAAAAACAGACATTCCACTGAACCTACTGGTACAATCTGCTTTGCAACATCTTCACCCATCCTCGTTCGAAAAGCTCGTCACACTGAACATCGCACAGCAAAAACAAATCTCTCGTTGGGAATTGAACCCAAGTTACATGGAGATTTTCGGCTCAAAACCATGTGTCCTAACCACTAGACGACAAGAGAGATGACATAAGACCCCTTACAGTGTACTGTATCCTGCCTACGGATCGTGTGCGGGACGAAACATGTGATTACAATATTTTCGCTCACCCACAGGTCAGCCGACTTGATCCCAAACATACTTAAAGCGTCCTCATCACGCCTTCCTGCCACCCTGTCACAAAGACCCCGACTCCATCGTGGTCTCTGCGAGCAGGTAAGTAAAGCCTCACATGTTCATGTCTTTCCTTTGAATGATGAACATTATACTGGCACCAGTCAAGCGCTTTTCTCGCTGAGAACATCCCTGGGCTCACTTCTTTTAATATACGCTATAGTGTAGTCCCTGAACACCCTATCTTCTACAGAAATCATTTCATGACCGCATCTGAACTAAGAATGTTTGAGCTAACCACTTCTTCGTTTAATCTTTTTATCTAGGTCCCGTGAAGCATGCCACGGTCTGGTTCATTTATATTTTCCTCACCCCGAATTTACATATTTGTTTGCGGATCTTCATGTTGCAAAGTACTAGCTATACATCATCACGCACCGTATGAGTCTTATTGCAATCCATCTCATGTCACATTGGTTAAAAACTACTTCTTTTCCAAAGTTGTCACTGATTGGCGCACAAAACAATCCGACGGTATGACTTTGTGATACATCAAGAGAATTGACGGCATGAAAATGATATAGAGAATTAAGGGGAGTTGCCATTGAGAGAGCCCCCTTCTGCATTCCCATCTGCCATCTCATCGAGGCCTGTTTGACCATTACCTGCGGCAGCGTTAAGTCTGTCAAACAATTGAGTCGTTTCTTGCCCTCCGTCTTTGTAGCCTGGCATCGGTTTGTTGAGTCGACCACTCAAAGTGATCCAATTCTGAATGAGCTTATCACTGAGAAATTGAGCGCTTTCCTGACTTTCGATCACGGTTCGAAACTTCTCGGATTTGTTTAAAAGGTCGAGTATGAATAGACAGTTTGGATAACGAATGAAGACGGCATATTGCGGATCGTGAAAGTACTTGAGGTAATTCAGGTAGCTTGAGAAAGAAAGGTGAACTACAGGTTAGTCATAACAAAGTAAACAGAATAAGCAAGGAACGCAGGTTCAACTAAACTTGACCATTGGCTCGGATGCGAGAATACCCTTCAAGGTTAATTCCTGAACGAAATGAGGGTTAGCAAGCGATTGAACAAACTATTGACGTAAACATTTATGTAGATGGTGGAGAATGGCAGTAGACCGAAACATCAGTCGATACCACTGCTCAAGGTTTCGGGTCCAGAAAAGCTCTCTTCAGCAATGCTCACTTCTAGGTCCTCTTCAAATCGTGTTTGATTAGCGTCTTTAAAATCCCGAAGCCGTTGGTCGTCATCGGCTTCAGTTAGAGAAGTGTTGGTTGGATCGGAAGGTGGCATTACGGATGCTGAGCATTGGGACTGGGAAGTCGAGAGCAACTTGGAAGTGTGGACTTGACTCTAAATTTTAAAAGCAACCACCGTGGCCCCGATGCTATTTGGATTGCGAGCCCGGGGCCGAGAGTAACTCACCCTAACTCACCACAGAAGGGTTTTGAGCCCAAAAACTGTCTTGCCTGGCCTCAGAATGGTCAGGCCAAAAGGCGGCCTGAGGACCAACCCGTCGCCTGTAGGTCATCAATAGGTGGGCTACAGCTGGCTGAACCAAGGGTGTCACTATACTATATGTTACTATACTCCCCAATACTCACACAAAAGATTCGG